ATGTGATTCCCTACTTGATGGATGCTTACTAATCCCACCAAGGGAGAAGCTACATGGTGCCTTCCAACATGTGGCTCCATGAAAGTAAAGCAACAATCCTCATCTATAAACATACATTATGGTCACATCTTTCTTTAATTGCTTTAGGCTGTGTTTGGTTGCAGTGCAATCTTATTTACATTAGTATAAATGTATGGGATGGATTGCAAATGAAAATAAAATGCAAATTCTCATTTAATTTCTTTTGGGTTTTATTTTATTCTACTTCATGTCTTAATTTACTTCAGTATTTTTACTCCAACCAAACAAAATAAGCTAAAATTTGAAATAAAAATAGGTCAGAATTTACATTTAAATCATTTGCGCCACCATAGTTTTGCATCAGTGCAGATTTATTTACATTGCAACCAAATGCAGCCTTAATGTTATAACTTATCAATTTAATTTGAGGTATATTTCATTAATCTAATAATAATTTAGGGTTCTTCTATGATACCAAAAAGACATCATACCATAAAAACATCTAACCAACCAATTGGTATCACAAAAGTGGTAAGCAACCAGGTGGTATGTGGTACCTTTCCGGCATCAGAGGTTTACCCAATAATTTAATAACAACAAAAATTAATTAAAATAGATAGTTCTAATTAAAATTAAGGGCAATTTTATCAATTCCTATGATTACATTAACTTATGGTATTGTATTCAATGACATCTTAGTTTATTAGATTTCCCAGTTTGATTAGAACAGTTTTGCTCAATTGATACTTGTATAGTATATCAATATGTAAACTCAATACTTGGCTAATGAATATGTGCTTCCTTGTTACTTGATCTATTTTTTTTGGTTTAATTCCTAATTTGATGTGTTGTCTCTTTGAAACCCTTTTCCACTTTTCTTCTTCTTCATTTCTTCATTGCTTTTCTTTTTCTTCATTGTAATTATACATAATTTTTCATTGTTTTCTTTTCTTTATAATTTATTTTACTTCTTATTGAATTCTTAATTTAATTATCATCAAGATATTATTATTTATTTTTTCTGACTTTTAACTCCTTGTTTTGTTAATTCCAAATTAAATGGTATAATAGGTAACATGATGACTTACTAAAATAGGTATTTAATTGTCAATTTTTTGATTGGGTGAAGTTTTATATGCTTTTAAATTGAATATATTTAGTTTATTATACTACTGAATTGATAGATTTCTTAGTTATATTTTGCTAGAGATAAATGCAATCTGTCCACATCATCAATTGGATAACAATAATAAAATCTTATTTGTGGATTTATCGACCCCAGATAACCATTATCTTATTATCAACCTCAGATAACCATTATCTTGTTGTACTTATCAAGTTATCTGTACATTTGATTTTGAATTTTTAAATTCTTTATCTTTGTCTATATAAACCTATGTAAACTTAGAAAATAATACAATGAGAATTTGCTTCTTCAATTGATTCTCGCATGGTATCAGAACCCTGGAAGACTAATGTCATGTCTACTCAAATCTCTTTGATCTTCATGAATGTTATCACAATTCACCTAGATAGGTACAATTATATATCTTATGGTCCATGCAAATTCTCCCTGCACTAAATGGGTATCGACTCATTGGATATATCGATGGATCGCTGCCATGTCCATCAAAGTTTGTTCTTGGCACTAATGATCAACAGGTCAATCCCGAATTTTTCTCTTGTTATGAATAGGATCAGCTCATATTGAGCTGGTTTCTTTCTTCTCTCATAGAACATGTTTTTGCCCAAGTCGTAGCCTACAAAACTTCTAAGGAAGTATGGAACCAGCTCAGCCGCTTATTTTCCTCTACTAAAAAAATCCAAAATCCATGATTTGAAGCTGAAGCTAGCAAATGTTAAAAAAGGTGACATGTTAGTTGCAGACTACATTCAGAAAAATAAAGGCATTTCTGATGCACTTGCTGCTTCTAATTATTTTATATCAGATTCAGATCTCATTCACTATCTTCTCAGTGGTTTACCACCAGAATATGATACCTTTGTTATCACTATTACTGCCCATTTAGATGATTTGACCATGCCAGATGTGCAGAGTCTACTTCTTACCTTTGAGAAGTGATTAGCTCGACATGCTATTTCTGTTGATTCTCCCTCTATTAATGTTGCAAGCAAAAAAGGGGGTAATACCACTGCACACTCACAACAACATTACTTAAATAAGCCACGATAGTCTTCCTCCTCGGACAGTAAGAAACATCTTAACAATGGTTCTAAACAACACAGTGGTAAGGATACTCCTATTATTTGTTAGATTTATGTATATGTTGGATACACTGTTGCCACTTGCAGGAAATATCTAGAGTCAATAAGGTCTCCAACAAGAACGCCAATGTAGCCTCTTGCACTACATCATCTATTGGTTCTTCTCGCGATTCAGTCTAGTATCTAGATTTCGGTGCTATAAATCTTATTGCAAATCTCAATAACTTATCCTTGCATAATCCATATAATTGTTTTGAACAAATCACTGTTGGTAATGGTATGCATTTACCCATCTCTCATATTGGCTCTTCTACTATTCACACCTCTTCTGGATCCTTTGATTTACATAACATTTTACAAGTGCCTCGGATCACTGAAAATCTTTTGTCAGTAAGCCAATTCTGCAAGGATAATGATCCAGTGTTTATATTTGATGCCTTTGGTTTTCTTGTAAAGGATCGGATGACAGGGAAGACTCTCTTCAAATGACTAATTAAAGATGGCTTATACATGGTGCAATCCATTTCTTCTAGCAGTCCTACGGCTTTGATTGGAGAATGCACCTCCAAGGATGTTTGGCATTTGCGTTTAGGACACCCCAGTCATAGGATTACTTCTCATATTATTTCCAGATATGATGTACCTATTTCCAATAAATCATTTTCCTTCTATACGGCCTGTCCTAGAGGGAAAGCTCAATCTCTTCCTTTCTCTTCTAGTAGCTCAGTTGTTACAAAGCCATTAGAATTACTTTTTTCTGATGTTTGGGGTCTTGCCCCTACCACTTCGGTTGAAGGATTTAAATATTATTTATCTTTTGTTGATGCTTTTAGTAAATTTATTTGGATATTTCCTATGATTGTTAAATCTCAGGTGCCATCCTTATTTTTATCATTCAAAAATCATGTTGAAAATTTATTGGATTGCAAAATCAAAGTTTTTTAGACTGATGAAGGAACAGATTATAAGCCACTTACTAATGCTTTCCATTCTATGGGAATCTTCCATTGACATTCATGTCCTCATACTCACCAACAAAATGGAGCTATTGAATGTCGACATCGCATCATTATGGATACAAGTCTAACTCTCATGGCTATGGCATTCGTTCATCAAAATAGGTGGTATGATGCATTCGGGGCTGTCATTTTTCTCATAAATAGATTGTCTACTCCAACTCCTTCCATGGCTTCTCCGTGGTTAAAATTATTTGGAACTATTCCTGATTACACATTTCTCAGGGTTTTTGGCTACTCATGTTATCCATATCTAAGACCGTATAAACGTTCTAAACTGGAAAATCGTTCTAATGAATGTGTCTTTATGGGCTATAGTCTTCATCATAAAGGCTATAAGTGCTTTCACTTACCAACTGGCCAATTGTATATCTCTCATAACGTTATCTTCAATGAAGGGCACTTTCTGTTTGCCACTGCCTCTATAGATCTACCTCTCCTCTCTCTACTCTACCAATTCTTAGGCCTCCACCACTTTGGCCTACTTCTCACAACACTCCTCTAACGACAGGTATAGCTCCACCCACCTCTGAGATTGCACCTCTCATTGAACCGCCTGATCCACCTATAGTTTCTGCTCCCTCTCTTGAGAATGCACTTCCTGTTGTCTCCACTCATCCTATGGAGACTTAGTCCAAGCATTGAGTTTTCAAACCTAATCCACGTTATGCATTGTTGGTGCGCTCCAATATGTGACATTAACTCGTCCAGACATTTGTTTTTCTGTAAATAAATTCTGCCAGTTTATTAAAGCTCCCACCATTGTTCACTAGGCAGCTGTTAAGCGAATCCTTCACTATCTGAAAGGCACTATCTCACATGGGCTATCTCTTTGTCCCTCCAAATCTCCCAATCTCACTGCCTTTTCTTATGTAGATTGGGCGAGCGGCCCCATTGATAGACGTTCTTAGAGTGGCTATTCCATATTTCTAGGTCCCAATCTTGTCTATAGTACAGAACCAGAGTATTGGTGCCTTGCCTCCACAGCTGCCGAAATCTCCTGGCTAACCATGCTACTCTCTAAACTTGGAGTAAAGTTCTCTCCCACCACTGTTTGGTGCGATAACATAAGTGCCAAATCCTTAGCCTACAATCCTATCCATCATGGTCGCACTAAAACATTGAACTTGATGTTCATTTTATTAGAGACAGGGTTGCAAAAAAAACCATTCTCCATACACTATGTTTCCAACAGTGACCAGATTGCTGACTTGCTCACTAAATCGCTTCCCTCTACACGGTTTCTTCATCTCAATGACAAGTTGACCATTGGTCCACCCCTGTCCAGCTTGAGGGGGATGCTAGAGATAAATGCAATCTGTCTATGTCACCAACTAGATAACAATAATAAATAGTTATCTGTGGACTTATCAACCCCGGATAACCATTATCTTGTTTCAACCTCATATAACCATTATCTTGTTGTACTTCTCAAGTTATCTGTACATTTGATTTTGAATTTTTAAATTCTTTATCTCTGTCTATATAAACTTATGTAAACTCAAGAAAAAAAAAATACAATGAGAATTTGCTTCTTCAATTGATTCTCACATATTTGCAACCAAACAACATGAATATTTTTTTGCTTCATGCTCAATAATATGAATTTTCATGCTAATGTTTTGTCTGTGGGTACAATAGCTGTGCAAGTGTGCATAAACAGAATTTTGTCTTAAACCGTGGACATCCAAAACTTGTTAAATGAGAGAGAGAGAGAGACAGAGACAGAGAGAGAGAGAGTCCCAAATTCCCAATGTTTCATAATATTGTATCAAACCATAATTTAATTACAAAACAAGAGGCCAAAAATGAATTGCATGCTCATATTCATACTTAACTAGAGATGGGCAAGACTAGTCAAAAAATTTCTAAATCAAAGAAGTTGGATCGGAGATCTAGAGAGAGAGAGATTGGAATATCTGAAACGCTGTGGCTGTGGCTGATTGTTGCTCCAGTCACTCTTTGCTCCTTGCTTTGTTGCTCCTGGAGCTCTGGCAAATTAAAACCACAGTTGTTGGCTGGAATTAATACTTTCCTTCTATCACAGACACAACTCACATGATAGCACAAGCATCAGCGCTGGTGTTGGGATTAGGAGCTTGATATACGCAATACTGAGGCATACTATAAGCAGCCTGGTTATAATTGAGAAACCAATCTACAGACTGAACTGTGTCTGTGGCTTTGGCCGCTGCTGTTGATTGGTTATTATTAGTTTTCTCCTCCTTTTTCTCCTTCACTTCAGAAACGCTAACCAGCTCCGCAGACCCCAAACTCTTCCTCAGAGACACTGTCAAGGTGATTGAATCAATCCACTCCCCTTCAACAACAATCTGACTCTTATCTTCACCTTGCAATGAAGCTGATTCAACCCCTGCAACAGTTAAAAACAAGCTGATCATATTGAAGGGTCTACTTCCATTATTGTCTCAAAATCCATATAAGTTATATAATAGATCAGATGGGTCATCTTACCTTGTATCCCAACTGCTATCTTGTGGTTTTTAGTGCGGGATTTTGAGCCATTCACAGGAACCTTGATCACCACCTTTTGCTGCACAAACAATCGATCATCAGTTTCTATTGAACACTCTACTTTCCAAAACTGAAATTGATCAGAACCCAGAAGTTAAAGCTCTACATATAAGCTAGCTAGTTCTCAGCTATATATACCTTCATTGTGAAAAATTTATTGGGTAACGAACAAATCAATCTCCAACTGAGATTTGAGACCTGAGAGACTACAGAAAGCGATATTTGATTGTTATAAGCTATAATCGGTGGGTTGCAGAAAGTCTCAATGGATTTTTGTTTGGTCTGTTTGTTGCACTGAGCCTCCCTCCTCTCCATGCATCTATTTATTATGGACATCAGATTGCCAATCAACTGAAAGCTTCCAACTTTCCAAGAAAATAATGATAGCGATGGTACAATCCCGAGAGAAGTCAAGTCAAGTCAAACAACATGTAATATTTAAAGGGGTTATTTTATATTTGCCCACTTTCTTTTCCGAGTTGATCTCGTGTAGTTCAAACCCCGTCGTCACTCTTGATGCGAACAGTTGGGCATTGCTTCGTCAAACTAACTTGTGGATGCCGATGGCGACGCGTTCTCATCACATGGTCAATAGTGCCACGACAAGATTTGAACGCGTCCTTACAAGTATTATTCTTGGCGGGTTGATTTGGCGAGTTGACTCGCCAGTCTAATCAAGCCATTAAATTAAGAATGCAAAATTTTTACATTTAACGAGGAGGGCGAATAGTTTTGCCCCAAAAAACATTAAAGTAATGGTATTTCTTTCGTTACTCTAAAAAAATGCAAGTGATATAGAAGTTTGATAAGTGCTAAAGACACTCCAATAGCTGCCACGACACTATCGGTACTTAGCAGCCCTTGGCCCTTTGCTAAATGGGGCATGGATCTATTTGGCCCATTCCTTCAAGCAACGAGAAATAAAAAGTATCTTGTTGTCGCCATCTACTGCTTCACCAGGTGGGTTGCTGCCAAACCCCTGGCCACCATCACAGCCCGAGTAATCCAAAGTTTCTTTTGGAAAAGCATCATCTGCCGCTTCAGCCTTCCTCACATGCTAGTCACGGACAATGGGAAGTGGTTCTACAACGCGAGGTTCAGAAATGATGTGCCTCCCTAGACATTAAGCAACAGTTCACCTTGGTAGGCAACCCTCAGACGAACAACCTAGTCGAGGTCACCAACTGAACTATCCTAGATGGACTAAAGACCAGATTTGATAGAGCAAAAGTCCTATGGGCCGATGAACAAAATAGTGTCCTATGGGCATACCAGACGACACATCGGACAACCATGGGATAGACCCCGTTCAACTTAACTTATGAAACCGAGGCCATCATTCCAATAGAGATTGGCCAACCGACACTTCGAACTGAGGCGTACAATGAGGCCGAGAACAGTGAAGCGCTTAGCACAAACTTGGACCATTTTGAAGAAGTCAAAGAACTAGCCTAGATCAGGGTGGCGGCCTACTAGTAGAAAAAGGCACAAGATATATAAAAAATTCTCCATTCTATATTCATTGTTTAACATACAAAAAATTCTAGCCTCAGAAGGGGAGGCCAAGCTCGTTTACAATAACATAGGGGACCAACTACGTCTCGCCCTTGGTTGGAGGAGTGGTAGAGTCCTCGTCGCCTGCGCCAGTAGCATCAACAGGGACCTCAGTGACATCTTTATGGAGTAGGGAGTCCGGGAGCACTTGCAACTTGTCTACCCAAAAGTCAGGCATCATCTTCAAGAGCGCATTCTTCGTGTCCTCAATCCCCACCAAGTAGGCCTCGGACCCGTAATCAGTCAGGCACTTCTGATACTCTGGAGTTTGTTTCCAAACGATGACAACATTCCGGTAGTTGGCCTCAGCCTCCATTGCCTGATCCTTGACATCTGTTGCTTCCCTCCAGGCTTCCCAAGCGAGCACACTCCTCCTCGAACACCCTCAAATGCTCCTGAGCCCAAGCGAGTCGAGCCTTCTCGGCCTTCAGATTGTCCTCCATTGTTTGCCGGAGCTACTTCTCCTCCTTTTGTAATAAGAGGGTCTCGTCCCGGCTGGTCTCAGCTGAGGACACCTGTACTCGCAACTGTTCATTTTTCTTCTCAAGTCGTTGCACATGGTCGAGGAGGCCAACCCGATTCCCTAGGCCTATGTAGAGGTGGTAGACCTGTAGCAGATATCCCATCAGCAAAAGAAAAGCAAGAAGCCAACAAGATAATGAGGCAAAAGTTGAACGAAACTCACCTCGGCCAAGAAGTCCAAGCCCTCATCTTGGATGACAAGAGTATCAGTCTGCATCATCTCAAACCGACCCCCCAGGGGGATCATCCCCTTGATCAGGGCCCTACTGACCCCCTTAGAGTTGATGGAATCCCCTTCACAGATGCCCCACCTAGGGCAAAACAGACAACTGAGGTGCTTCCCCTCCTCGGTTAGCTCTGAGGAAGAAGGGGGAACAGACGAAGCCCCGATGGCAGGCTCGTTGGCAGACGACATCCTTGGAGCAGCAAGAGGCCCCCTTCTCGATTCGCCACCCTGAGTCGGGCGATCCTTGTGCGCCAACCTTTTTGTTGGAGGTGTAGGTGGCACCTCGCCTGACCTCTTCTTGGTAGCTTCCCTCGGCCAACTTTCCTCTATCGGCTTCTTCCCTCTTTCGCCCCCTCCTCAATTGGGAGCTAGAGGCCAAGGGGTCCCCTCTACAGGCACAAGCCCCCTCTCTACCCACGCTAGTGGCACCTCGACAAGCCTCTTTAGCATTTGTCTCCAGATGTACCCTCGACGGTCCCCTTCTTCCTTGCTAGGGCGCTCTTCAACAGCATGCACTTGGCATCCAATGACAAGTCAACAAAAAAGAAAACAAGAATCGGTAGTGAGTAAAAAAGAAAAACCAATGTGTTAAACAACCGACGCAAGGATTCCTCCTATCGAGGGGGGCAGTGTTGAGCCCCGCAAAAACTAGAGGAAGCTCGGTCTCTACCAGGGGCTTGGCCCGAAGCGTTCCCAACACAAGGAGATGGGCTACCACAACAACTTCATCATCCCAAAGTATTGGCTTGGCCATCTTGGCAGCTAGATACATTTCCCCCCAGCTCGAGTTGATCGACCAACCCTCAGGATAAGAGATGAAGAAAAACTTTTCCTTCAAGCCATGGATGGACGAGGGATTGTCTAGGGGTCAGCTTCTTCGAGGGTGGAAGTAGTACATGCTGGCCTTGGAGGTGTGCTTCCTCGGCACAACCATAGCTCGGAACATCTTCGGCATGAGGACCACTTCTTGAAGCCAAGCCACCACCAACATACTGATGATTGTCCTAACGGCATTTGGAACTAACTAGCTAGGGGTAACACCGTACCATTTTGGCAGCTCGGAGATCAACGAATGAAGGGGAAGTTGAGGCCGAACATAAGAAAATGCTGGTACACGTAGATCTCCCATTGCTCTGGCGTCCATGATCGATCACCAATGTCGAGGACCCTCAGTCAATAAGACCTAGGGATGTGATACCTCTTAGCCAAGGACTTGACTTGGTCATAGTCGAGGGTACTGTCGAGCTCCGAACAAAGCAGGTGCTCTACATTCATCCCTTGAGTATTTGGCCATCGTCCTCAGGCTTAGCATGGCGACTGGTCCCCTTTCCACCACTAAGGGGGGACCCTTCGGCCTCCTTGGTGCTGTGGACTTGGCACTTTTGTAGGAATAGTCTTCACCCCCTCGTCTGCACTCAACATCCCTGGGGGCAGCCCTTTCCCTTAGCACCTCAATTGCTCGGCACGAGGCAGGGATCTTGGCGACCGATGTGCCTTGACTGGAGCTGATAGGGGTTTGGGTGTGGAAGGAGCTCGCTCCCGAAGAGATTGGGATTTCATAGCATTCGAGACCAGAATCAGAGAAAGACATGGTGTTTACCTAGGATGAAGACGAGGGTGACAAAGACTTTGAACTCTAAGGGCGAACAACTAAAGCCAAGGACTCTAGGAAGCAAGGGACTCTTGGAAGCAAAGGCATTGGAGAGCAAATGGTGAGCGGATGCGTGACTAAGGCCCCTATTTAAAAGAAAATGGATGGTCAAAATTGCATTGGATCCAAAGGCTACCGAGCGATCGCCTTTACTACCCCATCCGTTGACCGACACGGGTCACCTACCTCGGAAGATGAAATGATGCTTAGCAATGTTTCATAATATTGTATCAAACCATGGGACAAGCTACAAGTAGAACAGTTAAGATAATTTAATTACAAATCAGCAGGCCAAAAATGAATTGTTCTTATTGCCTTTTCATACTTAACTAGAGATGGGCAAGACCCTTTTAGTAATTAGTGTTCTCCTCCTTCACTTCAGAAACGCTAACCAGCTCCGCAGACCCCTAACTCTTCTGCAGAGACGATGTCAAGGCGATTGGATCAATCCTCTCCCCAAACTCTGACTCTTGTCTTCACATTTTATTTAAGCGGATTCAACCCCTGCGACAGTGAAAAACAAGCTGATCATATTGAAGGGTCTAGATCCATTATTGTCTCAAAATCCATATAAGTTATATAATAGATCAGATGGGTTAGCTTACCTTGTATCCCAACTGCTATCTTGAGGGCTAAAGTGCAGGATTTTGAGTCATTCACAGGAACCTTGATCACCACCTTTTGCTGCACAAACAATCGATCATCAGTTTCTATTGAACTCACTACTTTCCAAAACTGAAATCGATCAGAACCCAGTAGTTAAAGCTCTACATATAAGCTATCTAGTTCTCAGCTATATGTACTGATGGTGTGTAATCCGACCGATCCTACCTGTCAACGACTTTGCCTTTGAATGGAGCTACAGGGAACCTGAAACGGAGAAGAGGAGGAAGCTCCGGGGGGAACCCGGTGGGATGGCTCCGAAGCTCAAGTTAGAATTCTCTCAAAGGCAAGATAAAACCAGATGGCGCAAAGTTCACATACCTTGTTCTTGGGGGTAGGGAGCCTTTTATAACTACCTCGTGCACTCATTTCTAAGCTTCTGTCAGGTCGGGTATGATTACCTCTGGGCTCCTGCCAGTTCGGGTCTCATCCCCTCTGCTGGATAGAACTGCCACTGCTCTCTTTGTCAGAGCCGTCTCTATGGCTGGCGATGACGGTGGCAGGTGGCGGTGGCAGGTGGCCATTCAAGTGCGGCTGTCAAGCGTCAGATCCCAAGTCAGTCAGGTGCGCCGCCCTTGGATACGGACCTCCTCAGTGTCAGGTATGGTACGTTTGTTTAGTTCGACGTCCTGGAGGCGAAGTGCTGGAGTGGTGAGCGAGGTGAAGTCTTGAGTTCGG